CCCACCCTTACACGAAGGAAGGGGAGCTAGAGCTTTAAATTTAGCTTATGATTCAAGAAAACTTTGAGGCTTTAAGGATCCTAGAGCACCACAACCAAGCCACCATCCGATATTAGTTATCTAACCTTCGCCTACTAATTGATGTTGCCTGACTACAGTTGTTAGACCAACATTGCTTGACTACAATCCTCATACCAACATCATCCAACTATGATCATTGAACAACTATCGCTCGAATATGGTCCTCTTACCACCATTGCCAGACTATGATCCCCCGACCACCATTGAATGAGTAACCCTCAGACATTCATCACCCACCAACTATAATCCTTAGACCTCTATCAACTGAATGCAGTCCATTAATCACCATGAACTGATTACGACCCATTGACCACCATCACCCAACTATGGTCTGCCGACCATCGTCAATTGATTATGATCCATTGATCTCCATCTCCTGCCGACAATAATTTTTTAACGATAATGGTCCTTCAACCTTCATTGCCCATCGATTATGGTCCTCGAACCATTATTGCTTGACTACAATGCTCGAACCATTGTCACCTGATAACAATCCTCAAACCATCATTATCCGACTGCATTCCTCATACCTCAATTTCCCACCAACTATGGCCCCCCCACTGTCGTCAATCAAATACAATTCTCGAACCTCTATCACCTTCCAACTACGATCCTTTGACCACTATCAACCGAGTATGGTCATTTTGGCCACTCTCGTCTGATTATTATCTGTTAACTATCTTCATCTGACTATAATCCGCCGACCACTATCTTTCGAATACAATCCCCCAGCCACCATAGCTGACTACCATCCTCAAACCAATGTCAGCCGAGTACAGTCCTTCCATCCGCCATCGTCTAACTACAATCCCTCGACCATTGCTGAATAAGTACAATACTCCAACCTCTATTGCTCACCAAATATAGTTCTCTGACCACTCTCAACCAAGTATGGTCCTCCCAATGTGACCATTGTTAATAGAGCATTGCCTTCCAACCTCTTTCATTTGTTAATTACAATCATTTGACCATTATCAATCAAGTATGATACTCCATCCACCGTCACTTGACTACGATTCTCAGAGCACCATCGCTTGACTATGATCCTCCAATCATTATAGTCTGACTACAATCCTTCGACCTCCATCACCCGATTATGATCCTTGGGCCACTATTGTCTGAATGTAGCCCTTTTAATCTTCATCACCCAATAATGGTCATTTGGACATCATCCCATGATTATGATCATTGTGACCATTGTCATACGACTATGGTCCTCCGACTCACAATCTTCTGACTAGTATCTCCTGGCTACTCCAATGCCTACTGACTTCATCATCTAACTATCACCAAAAATGTCGACGTATGCCATAACTTATAAGATCTATACACATCATCAACATCAACTCTAACTCCCAACATCAATAATGAGATTTATGATAGACTTTTTATCATTTTGTCTTCTCGTTTCAAGAGGGTATGACTAAAATAATAAGTAAATGACCTATTAAAATAGCTTCCATACCATAGGACTCTTTCAACTTCAACCTTGAAATATATATATTACTTTAAATTAATGCCTTATCTCGAATAATGGTATCATTTTTAACCGATGACAAGTACTACTAAAATCATTTTAACTAGGTCACACTGTATGATTTTTCTTTTTCTTGGATTTTTCATATAAAAATTATGATATCTCTTATAATTCTTGCACTCCTTTTATGTATGTGTGTTCTAGATCTTCTTACAAAGCTAAGACATATATTTCATAAAATAATTGTACTTAACATATAGAATTGATATATCATCAAAACATTATGTTGAGCGGGCACGGATCTCGAAGCAAAATTAAGTTAGAAATTTTAAAAATTAAATTGGAGACCATCTAAACTCCGATTTCAGCAAACTTACAGTCAAACTGAATGTCTCAAAAATATAAACCCAACAACACCAAATTCGACTTTTTCGAGCCCAAATGAGTACAACTCAAAGACCCGAATCACATTTGAAAGATTCAAACCAAAATTTGGATTACCAAACAGTCTCCAAATGTAACATGCTTATAGTTAATTCAAATGGTTTGACAAGACGAATCCAACGAGCCCAAGATCGTGAAATTCTGATATCGTTAAGACATTCAAATGTCTAATAAACGGTTCATGATCAAGGGATTCAACATCAACCGTCCATTGAAACCACTCCCAAATTTTCCTTGATCTTCCTCCTATTTACTGGCCATGCCAACTTAAAAAAATATATAAATAGACCTCTCATTTCTTATAGAGGGGGGTCCCAAGGAGGAGGGAGGAGGAAGAGGACCAAACAAGAAGAGAAGGATGAAAAGGAAGAGATTGAAGAGAGCTCTCTTGCCACCAGACTCTTCCTCGATCATCACTGGACTTCTTCCCGTCATAGGACTTTCAGTGGACTTCTACCCAACGTCGGACTTCCACTCATCACCGGATTTCTACCCGATGCCAGACTTCATCATGTTGCCAAACTTTCGCCCGTCGCCTGATTTCTACATGTCCGTCGTCAGACTTTTGCCTGTCACCGTACTTTCGTCGAACTTTTATCCGTCGCCAAACCACCGTCTATTGTCAGATTTCTACCCAACGTCAGACTTTCGCCCGTCGTCGGACTTTCGTCGGATTTCTACCCGACGCCAAACTTTCACCCCTCGCAAAACTTCTGATCTTCGTCGCCAGTTAACTAAGGTCCTTATGATCTCCTTCACCAGACAACAGTCTTTCTGACTATTGTTGTCTGTCGACTACGATTCTTTTAGCATCTGTTGACAAGCAACGATTTTTCTGGCCACCGTCGTCTGCTAACTATGTTCCTTCTGACCTCCATCGCTAGATTGCAATCCTTCCAACCTTCGTTGCCAGACAACGGTCTTTAATAACCACTATCACATGTCTACTACAGTTCCTATGACCACCGTCACCAGACTACGGTCTTTCCGACCTCCGTCGCCTGCCGACTATAGTTCTACCGACCAAACAGATGTATCAATAGTGATTCTTTCAAGTACCGTCATGCAACACACACTATATGATTTATATTTGTTACATCAAGCTAAGGCCTTCCCCCAAGGAAGGGCCTCATTTGTACTTGACTGCAAATAATAGTGGATTCATTCAAACTAGGCCAGAGCCCATGGTTTTTCCCCTTTTCACATTTTTCCACATAAAAGTTTTGGTATCTCTTATGAATGATACACTCTCTCTCTTATATGATTGCATGCTGGATCTTCATACAAAGCTAAGAAGTTAAAATTTATAATTCTCTGCCGCCACGAATATTCCAGGACGCACAACAAGAATAAAATAATGTTATTTTTCCAACTTAACAATTAGATGTTGCATTTCATAAAAAATCATGCGAGGTTGCTTTGAATATAAAATTCCTTAAAGTTTAGCCTGATTCGACTCAAGCAGAATACGTGAGACCGCCAAATCAAAAGGAATAATTGCCGAAAGGTGTCAATAAAATAATGTTAGCATGACTTTTCTCTTATAAAGTGATAGATAAGTATTCTTATTTTGGTAAATATATACATATTTTTCTGTTTAAAGGAGGAATCTATGTTTCATCAAGAATGATAAATCTACCAATCGATGAGGCTTAAACCTTTTAAATAAAAAAATAATACTTTTTGCAAGAGAATTTTTCATGTAGATAACATAGCCAGCTAGACCCTTTGAAAATAATATTAAATCCTCCAGCTTGCCAAGCCAGTCTCTACTCCTCCATTCCTATCCTCTAGTCGAATTATAAGATCCCTCTTATTCTCTCTCCACACCCTCTTATTCATCTTAATCCAAGAGTTAGAATAACTTAACAAAATATTATAAAACTTAAAATTCTTATTCTTAAATATACTTTAAGATAACCATAATATTAATTATGTATATATTGCACTCATTTTAAATCAAATAAAAAGTTGTTACATTGGAGAGATTATTACGTGTGAAGTCGGACACGGAGAACAATTCAATTTTGTGCATATGAACAGTAAAAGCGCAATTACTATTCAACCCTGCACTTTTACTATTCACAGTCATAAAACCGAACGGTTCTCTGTCTAGACTCCGCACATAATAATCTATCATTATATTGTAACACAATGCTTTCATTCTAAATATAAGAATTTTGAAAATATAAATGTATGATTGTTTGAGAAATAAATTTAATGTACAATTTAAAATGTTTTAATTTTGACACATTCCAATATGAAAAATTATTCTATGCAGATGACAAACACAGCTCTACATCCGAAAACCAACCAGAATGAGCTACATCAACTATATCGAGCGCAGTACCGAGTCGCGGTACCGACATGACTTATTTTGATTTATCTCCAGATGACGTTCAACATCTGCACATAATAATTTCTCCCAAAACTGCTCAATTCAAATAATTTTTAAAGGCATCATATCACCTTCCTCACCTACAATGCCACCAAAACATAAGCTTCATTTAGGACAACTTACTATTTTCTTAACACAATTTTTTTACTAAAATTTTACTTTAAAAAAAAAATAGTAAAAAAATATCCCAAACAAAATGATAGACCGTTTTGCACCCTAACCTGATAACATTACTTTTATGTCATAAACAATCAAACTCCTGAATTTACAAAATGTTTTAAATACATAAAATTTACTTTCCCATGTATTTTGAATGCATCCAATTTAAAAAAAAAAAAAAAAAAAAAAAAAAAAAAAAAAAAAAAAAATAAGACCCAATTTTGACCCGTAACTCCCACCACAGTCCCAACTTTTATGAGTTCCTTTCAAAAGCTTCCCAAAAAAACATTTAATTTTCCTAAACCCTAAACATCTTAAGCACCACCAAGCAATGAAATGACAAGTCATGAGCATAAAGCCAATAACAGAAATCAGAATTAGTCACAATCAGTACCAACTACTACAGCAATAATACAGAAAATGCGCTTAAGCAGTTTAAAATGGAAACATTCAAATCACTATATTATAAATAGAACAAAAAGTGTTGGTACAAAAATAATTCATCACATCAACCCACCCCCTTCAAAAAGTAAAGTATATCTCTAAACATAGAAAGATTATTCTGTGCGGACACCGGACGAGAAAAACTGTCTGATTTTGTCTCTAGCAAATACTGTTCATAGAGACAAACCAGAAGGATATACCCGTCCGGTGTCCGCACAGAAAAATTCATCCTAAACATAAGTGTATGAAAGAAAGCATATCACTATATCACTATATGATATGATTATTATAGACAACCGCTTTAGTTATAAGCAGTACAATCATAATCAATGATAATTAAACAACAAAGAACTTCATTTACATTCAACAACTAATTATAACACAACTTTGATAGCAGGTAAGAATTATCATCATCACATGAGCTCCATGGAATCATGGAGATTATGATCACTGAATGACTGGCCATTTGAGGATAGAAGAGGGCTAGTCAAGTGGAGTTGCTGAGCCTGCAAGTTCCCACTTTGGCCTGGAAGCTGTTGAGGACGAGCATAAAAGGGAGAGATAGAGATTGACTGCTCAAATCTCCTATTGAAGGTGTTTTCAATACCGTTTGGAATCTGTGTAGTTGCTATCTTCAGCCGCTGAACTTCTCCTCTCAATGCCTCATTCAGAGCTGTGCAACTCCAAATTATGGTTGGTAATGTTTTAAATTAAAAAAAAAAAGCAAAAAACATTTGAAGTATAACAAGAACAGATGAAAAACAGCTGTTAGTCACGGAAAAAGCAAATGACAGATACATCTATCATGTATGCTTGCTATTGCCGCCATAGACATGCATGTGATGGTACGACATACAAGGGGCTGAACCCTTAAGTGCCCCCTAAAAAAATTTAAAATTATTTATTACATGAATATTTAGGTAATTTGTCCCCTCCCCTCCAGCTTTTTTTCTCTTTAATTTTTAGACAATTGTCCCCGCTAAAAAAATTAAAATGCTATGATCATTAGGTGATTGCCCCCTAGCAGAATTATACACATTGTGTAGAGGAGTCATTACAAGGGATTTTAGGCAATTGCCCCCGTAAAAGTTTTAAAATACTATGGTCTTTAGACAATTGCCCCCATTATAATTAAATACATTGCGTAGAAATGTTATTGTTAGGGAATGATGAACCAAATACAAAGAGTAATAGTAAATCAAAATAAAGGGAATTTGGGACTTTAGGCAATTGACCCCCTAAAAGTTTTAAAATACTATGGTCTTTAGACAATTGCCCCCATTATAATTAAATACATTGCGTAGAAGTGTTATTGTTAGGGAATGATGAACCAAATACAAAGAGAAATAGTAAATCAAAATAAAGGGAATGATGAACCAAATATAATTAAATAGTAACCCAAGTCAAACCCCGGCACCCCCCTGAACCCCCAACATATGTACCAACAGCTACTTATAAGTTTGCCCCCCCTGAAAATTATAGCTGATTCCACCCCTGGTCACAGACATGCAATTTCTGAAATACATCATACACTCATGCCTTCATAGTTTGTAGCCTGGTTGCTTCGTAACTAGGAGAAGGGAACTTGTGGATGGATGCCTACAACTTGTTCCTACCTTGTAATAAAGAGGCACTAATTTTCTGTATTGTCGTTTAGTAAACAGAATACAAATATAAGTAGGCTAAATATTTCTAGTGTTATTATTATCTATGCATCCGAAATCACGATATAGAAGTATGGAAAGTTGCATGTGAATGTGAAAAATGAACTTAGTTAAACTGTCTTTAATCAATACAAATAGGTTCAGGGACTTCAATTGTTGCTAAAATTTGAATGGATGATGAGTATTAGTGCTTGATGAAGTGAAGATGACAATTTGGAAGGCTAAGTTACCATCTCGGAGTCGAGCCTGCTCTTCCATAGCCTGCAAACGCAGTTTGAGCTCCCTGTTTGCAGATGTTAAACCCGTAGTATCTCTCTGCAACACAGAAAAATAACTGCAATGTAATTCTTTGTTTCTGTAACGATGAACAAGCCAAAGCAAATTTATGGCTGATTCGCAAAACAGTGAATGCTTTCAAATACCATAAAAATCATTAATGATTCTTTAGATGACGACAAATAGAACTCAAGGATCAAATAAACTGTAGAGTTTTTTAAAGTGCAAACACAGAAATGGCGATAAAAATAAATCCTGCAGGATAAGCCAATGCACAAACGTCAGTTCCTGATACAACGTTGTTTTTGACGATTTTACTAGACCCATCTGATTTGAGTGGAGAAAAAGTTTGTTTTTACAATTTAAGTGAACTTAGAAGTCATTCAGAACAATAGAATAGTCCTGTTAGCTTAAAATTAACCTAACACTAACCAAAGTAGCATTTTGTAAGAGTTCATCTATTATGACTCTACAACGATACTAGCAATATTAAAATTTATAGTGATATATTAATAAATTCATGTGTTTGGAGTGGTAAACCAATAAAAATTTCCTATATGATAATTATAACAGTAGATTGTTAATGGTAGTAACAATATCAGAAAGCATTATCAGAAGGTTATAAAATTAGCAACTGCAAAAGGGAAGGTTCATAGATAACTAGCCTAAAATAGCATTTAGTCCTGAAAATTATATTCACAATAAGTCAGTATTATCTTGCTTATCCTTTTGATTCAAGATAGTTTGTTTCGCTTGACTCGAAATGAAATTTTTTTGGGAAATTTACATACATACCATTTTATAACATCATATTTACATATCTAATACCTAAAATTTTAATATTATATACATGTCACCCTATATTATTTTAATATCAAATATACCACTTATATTTCTTTCATACCACTCATATATTTCATTTCTACCACTCATATTTAATATCAAAATAAACTATGGGGTATGAATATAATATTAAAATTTTAGGTGTTAAATATATAAATAGAGTAGTATAAAGTGGTATGTATGTAAATCTCCCAAATTTTTTTTTATTTTTCAACTTGATTCAAAATTATTTTAAGTTTATAACTTGAATTTGAGCTTGAATAATGCCGAATTGTGCCAGTGATTGCGAGATCAAGGTGAATGTTATATTGACTAAATTACTTTGTATTTGGTATTACATCAATTGCATTGGATCCTTGATAAGGATTGCACAAAAACTTTATCAAATTGATCAAACGGTTGAGATTAAACCTTGCTTGGGATTCACACCACACCCGCTTCTATTCTTGATGCTTGGGATTCATGCACACTACCTTTTTCAGCTCAGTATTATAAGCTGCTACCTTTTTTCAGCTCATTATTATAAGCTGCTGTCTTTTTCAGCACATTAATCTTCTGGCTTGATTCATTCCCCCTCCATTTGTGGCCTTTCGGTTCTTCCCCAGCATGGTTCCTTTCCACCTGGTGTATAGAGGCTGATTTGTGACATTTTAGAGCTGTTTTTGGTGAGTGAAGATATCTAAAAATCTAAGAGTTTCTTCTTGGAAAAGCTTGCAAGCTATTTCCAATTCTCTTCTCCTCTCTTTGATTTCGTCTTAGGCTTCTAACCTACTTCTTCTCTTCACAAGTTTCCACCCTACTTGTATCTTTCTTCTCAAGCTCTTGAAAGTGTTGTTGGCCGATTTGGTAGCATTTACCGGAGGAATCTTGTTGTGGACGTTGGCCCAAAGTTGTTGTGGTGGACCTTTGGTTTGCATGTCTTTAAGCACTTATTACCTTACCTACTATTTCGATGCAAGTAAGGTGACCACTAGTTGATTATTTTGAGGGTAGTTTGATTTATTTTTATTTTAGTTTCGTTTTTTGTCTGACTTTTGTTTGTTTCAAGTTGATTTTTGGTGTTTGCCTACTTTAATTTGAATTGAGAAAGTTCTGCTAGTCGTTGTGTTCTCCATTTTTTATTTTTCTATCTAGTTGTCTGCATCACAATGACTTGTAGATCTCGGACATGTACCAATCATCTTCCAATTATGGGGTGTGGCATCAAAAATATGTAGGAAGTTCTCTTCGAAGATTTAAGGAGAAAAAAACTTAAGAGATCTCTCTGATGCCTCAACCCTTTCAACTCTAAGACCTCTCGAGGATTGTTGGCTTGGATGCAAGAAACAAGAAGGTTTGTTTGAGAAATAATCTATTTGCAAGTTATCTTCTTCTTTGTCTTTTGAGCATGAATGCAATTGAGATTGGAGAAGTGCGATGAATGCTCCTACTTTGCATATAATGATTATAACTTTCGTGCTTACTAATAGATCAGATCCTCTCTTCTATCGATAACAAAAGTTTGCTTGAAGTCAAACCACATAAATCTGGTATCTTCTGTGTTGTGTTCTCTCTTATATGATTACTTGTAGAAAATAATTCTTAATCCTACTAATGCTTCTGCTTCAAGTTATTTATCACTCTACAACGAGAAAAACAACAACAACAAGCCTTTATCCCACTACATATGGGGTTTTGAATGACTCCAACAATAATGAGTGAAAATGAGAAGACGGGAAAATATGAAAAAACACTTACAATGACAGCATGCTTACCGGACAAAATATTGATGATGTCATAGAGGAGTTAACCATGGATAGTTTTTGGATCTCAAGTTAGAATCATTGTTCATGACCAAAATCCTCTCTACCAAACTCTATTAGAAGAAAAAATTATATTTGCTATGCATAACGAATTATTTACTACATTAACAGAACCTAAACATGCGATAGAAAAAAATTCATACAAGAAAATATAGTCTACTATTATAAATTAATAACATAAATAAAGTTTAAGGAAGCCACGTGTAATTGAAAACCCAGATTATAGAAAATCCAACTAATTAAAATCACACATACTTACCAATAACAAAAACAAATAAAAAGAAGAAGAAAAAGGAAGAAGATGGTAAACAATTCACCATACTTCCAAGCCCATGTTTATACAAGAATATACTCTCTTAAAAATTTTCAAGTATCTAATTTAATCAAGGAATTGAATCAAGGAAGCAAAAAAATAATTGCACATCTAACTAGAACCTTCTCAACTACTAATAATAAGTTATGTACAAACCTTAAATCCGCATTTATATTCACAAAAACAATTGTAAATCCATTTCATCACTTGTAGTCTAATCACAAAAATATCTCAATCATTGCTTGTAATAAACCAAACCCAATAAAACCATGAGCCATTCATGTCATCTCTGCCCTTCCCAAAGAGCAAATCCCATAATTTGATAAGTTGTAGGAGCCTAATATAGATCTCACAAGCTGCCTCAACTTGTGATTTAGAAGACATTGCTAGGGAATCACACTTATTCATGGTTCCTTCCTTTGTAGTTACCAAAACCTCCCCCCCTTACAATCTCCTTTGTTTCTCTCCCTCACAACCGACAACAGAGAAACCTTCTCGTCTCCTTCCTCAACCAAGAGTCTCAGAGCTGCAAGCTTTCTTTCTCCCCTTCACTACTCCAACCGCTCAAGCCTTTGATAGGAGATACTTGAGTTCGCAAGCAAACCTATCACCAATGGGTGAAAACAATGAGAATAATGCAAAATTTGGGTGAAATCAGCCCCAAAATGATGGATTGCAATAAGAGAAACAAAGCCAAACAAACATGAGAACAAGATAAAAATGATCCTCAAATCGAGAGGAGGATCGTCTCTCCCAAATCTCTAGACAAGAGAGCTTAGAGCCCAAACGCCAAGGAACCCTAATTTGCAATAAAACAAAACATGATCCTCTCTAAACCTCCTTTCCCTCTTAATACAAAAACTTTCCTAAACTATTCTCCCTCCAAACCCTTAGCCGGGCCCTCCTCTTTGAAATTCAAAACAATTTCGCAAGTTGGGGCCCACTATGTGGCCGGCCAAACCCAAGGGAGGCGGACAAGTTCCGCCTCCTATAGACTTAAACCGGCCCTTGGGCCGGATGGGCCGGTTAACGGTGAACCAGCGGCACATCAATAATGCACTCCCAAAGAATCACATTGTCTTCAAGGTGAAAACAAGGAAACTACTATTTCACCCTCTCGTATGGCTCCCATGTGGCCTCGTAATCCGGGAGGTTCTTCCACTTGATCAACACTTCCTTAGTTTCATCTTCTTTCTGGTGAACCCCCACCAGCTCTAAGGGTTCCAAAACCACCTCTAAATCATCAGTAAGTGTCGGCAGTAGCTCGGGGTTGGTTGTGTAGCCACCAATGGCCTTCCTCAACTGCGAGACATGAAAAACCGGATGTATAGTCTTCGATGGTGGTGATTTCAGTCGATATGCTACTGCCCCAATCTTCTCCAGCACTTCATAAAGCCCAAAGTACCTTGGAGCCAACTTTTCATTTCTCCTGTTGGCGACTGTCTTCTGTCTATATGGTAGGAGCTTCAAGAACACCATTTCCCCCACTTCAAACTGAATGTCCTTCATATGCCCATCCGCTTGAGTCTTCATTATTTGTTGAGCTCTCAGTAGATGCCTCTTCAACTCCTCTAGCACTCAATCCCTCTCCTCCAATTACTCCTTTACCGAAGAAACGGGAGTACTGCTACTCCCAAAGTGTACCAAGTGTGGGGGATCCTGTAGAATGAAAAGATGTGTTGTACCAGTACTCAGCTCATGATAGCCACTTAGCTCATAGCTTAGGGGTCTCCAACACAAAGCATCTCAGGTACATCTCCAAGCTCCTATTGACTACTTCCGTCTGGCCATCCATCTGTGGGTGATAAGTTATGCTCCTCTTGAGAACTATCCCCTGTAATCTGAACAACTCCCTCCATAAATGTCTGAGGAACACCTTATCCCTATCTGATACGATCGCCTCTGGCCCTCCGTATAATCTGACCACCTCCCTGATAAAGGCTGACACTACTGTCACTATGATGTAGGGATGTCGGAGGGGAATGAAATGTGCATACTTGCTCAGTCTGTCCACCACCACTAAGATCACCGTGAACCCCTCTGAGCGGGGCAACCCATCTATGAAGTCCATAGATATATCCTCCCACACTCTTCTCGGTAGAGCTAACGGTTGTAATAATCCTCCTGGTGACATATCTAGGTACTTATTCCTTTGGCAGATCTCACATCAGGCTACCATATCCTCTATATCTTTATGCATCCCCTTCCAGTATAACTCCACAGCTAGCCTCCTGTATGTCTCTTGTACGCCTGAATGCCCCCCATAGTGCTTCCATGAAACTCCTAGAGTAAGTTTGGGATGTGGATAGAGGTCCAGGGCACCACAAATCTCCCATGATATAGCAGTTTGTCTCCCTCCAATAAGTACCCTAGGTGGCTATCATCTTCTTTCAATAAATCTAACCTGATCTTTCCCAAACCTTCATCTCTAGCACTTTCTTCTCTAATGGCCTCCCAGTCAAGCATCAAAGGAACAAATAGTGCCACTGTCTGCAGCTCCCTCATACATCTGGACAAGGCATCTGCCGCCTTGTTCTCCACCCCTGGCCTATACTGAATCTCAAAATCGTACCCAAGCAACTTGTACAACCATTTTTGATGCTCCTCTGCCACCATCCGCTATTCCAGCAGGTATTTCAAACTCCGCTGATCTGTCCAACATGCTGGTCATTAATTCTGTCTCATAGACTAACTTCAGCCTGGCTCTAGTAGTCAATACCTGGCTGAAATAGACAATGGGCCTACGATTCTGCATAAGCATTACTCCAAGCCCGTATCCGGATGCATCCATCTCCACAATGAAGGTCTGAGTGAAATATGGCAAAGCTAGGACCGGTTCCATAGTCATCGCCTTCTTCAAGCTCTCAAATGTTGTTGTGGCCGCCTTACCCCATAAGAACCCGAACTTCTTCAACTGCTCAGTGAGTAGCCATGCTATGGTGCTGCACCCCTTTACAAACCTTCTGTAATACCCTGATAGTCCTAAAAATCCCCTCAGCTCCTTCAGATTTTTCGGCACTGGCCACTTTAACATTGCCTCAATTTTGGACTAATCTACTATCACCCCTTCTTTTGATACAACATGGCCCAAGTACTCTACACTGACTTGTGCGAAGCAGCATTTCTTCAAGTTAGCCCTCAACTGGCGCTCCTGCAACACCCCTAACACCATTTTCAAATGCTCCCAGTACTCCTCTGTCCGGCTGTAGACCAGGATGTTGTTAAAGAATACCAATATAAATCTTCGGAGATAAGGTTTGAAAACCTTATTAATAAGGGCCTGGAAAGTAGCGAGAGTATTGGTGAGGCCAAAAGGCATCACCATGAACTCATAGTGTCCCTCATGAGTTCTAATGGCCGTCTTGGGCACATCCTCCTTCATCCAGATCTAATGGTAACCTGATTTCAAGTCTATCTTGCTGAAGATCACGGTTCCACTCAATTCATCTAATAGCTCGTCAATGACTGGTATAGGAAACTTGTTAGGTACAGTTTTCTTGTTGGGTGTTCTGTAGTCCATGCAAAAATGTCAGCTGTCATCCATCTTTTTCACCAATAGAACAAGACAAGATAAAGGACCGATGCTGGGTCTGATGATTTCTGCCTCCAGCATCTCTCTAATCAACTTTTCGATTTCATCTTTCTGGAACTGAGAGTAGCGATAAGGTCGTACATTGAGGGGTGACACTCCCTCCCTCAACATGATGGCATGCTCCTGCTCCCTCTGTAAGTGGCAATCCCTGAGGTGACTGAAATACCTCTTGGAACTGCTGAATCAACAGCTGAATTGAGAAGGCTATGTCCCCTCCCTCCTCCAATCTCGCTCTCTCCAAACTGTGCAACTCCACCAAATACCCTCCGCCAGCCAACTGTATATCCTTCACCATCATTTTAAGAGAAACCATGGATTTGGATAGCCCCACATCTCCCTTAATCACCACCTTCCTTCCATCTACCATCAACTCCATCGTGAGTTCTCCCCAATTCACTTTGGTGTCTCCCAAAGTTTGTAGTCATCTCATCCTCAGGATGACATCTGTATTCTCAAGCTCTAGTGAAAGAAAATCTTCCCTCACCTGAATCCCCTATATCATCAATCGCACTCCTCTACAAATCCCCTAGCCTTTCTCCACCTTCCCTGTACCCATCATCACCCTGGATCCACCAATCTCACTCTTAATTAGTCAATGACCTGGGTGGAAATAAAATTGTGAGTAGCCCCACTATCTATCAACACCACCACCTCCCTGTCCCACATCTCCCCCATCACTTTCATGGTATGATTCGGTGTGAATCCTACCACTGAGTTCAGGGAAACCTCATCCAGATCCAAATGTAGCTTCTCCTCCATCTCCTCCTCACCTCCCTCTTTAGTTTCCTCGTCATCGCAGACAGTGAGAACCTGAAGAGTTCAGACCTTGCACTGATGCCCTGACATGTACTTTTCATCGCACATGAAGCACAACCCCTTAGCTCTCTTCTCCTGCATCTCTTTCTCTGTCAGCCACTTGAAATTTCCCCGCTTCCCCCTCCTGTCTTCTCCTTGGTGGCCTCTCGACTACCTCCTGTTGCAGGAACTTTAGGTACTAGATGGGTGGTCGTCCTCCTGTAAGTCCCCCTTCTACTACTCTGGGCTCCCCTCTCCAAATTCCCCTGATTTTTCACCAGTTGAGCCAACTTCATAGCCTCGCCCAAGTCACGGGGCATAAACCTTCAGTGCTGCTCGGATCTTCGCCTTTAACCCCTTCATGAAATTTTCCTCCAATACTGCATCTGAGAGTCGCTCCACCCTGATAGCTAGGTGCTCAAATCGCTCATAGTAGTCTGCTACTGATCCCTCCTGTGTCAGAGCAAAGAACTGCTCATAGAAATCTCCTAATTTTCTATGAGTACGCGATAATACGTTAGTTTGAAGTAACAATAAAACATTACAAACAAATATTATTTATGTTTTAAAAATGTGTTTGTGTCCTAATTTTGAATCTTAAGATCTCTTGTGTCCCCCTATCAATTGCTCATTTCTTTTCACTTTTCATCTTCCTTTCCTATCACTACAACCTCCCTCCAATCTTTCTCATGCTCTAGCTATTCTGAATCATACAAAGCTTTTTATGTGCTTTACAATGCAATGTTTTAGTTTCGTTAAAACCCCCTCTCCCTACCATTGTTTTCTCACTTCCTAGTCCATATGCACCACCGTTTCTTTCTGCCCTTATCCCACTCCTATTTTAGTAATATAAATTGGATCTTACATAAATATTTAGAACAAATGTACAGTGTACCATCTAAGGAACTACAAAGTTCATGCCAAGGGTTGAACAAGGTGTTATACCTATTTTGCGTTAATATTATCGAAAACATCAATCCATGTAATCATTAGCCTAAGATTTATTTCTTCATTATCCATTAACCTTAATTCTATCCACTCATCCCATAGATACATCTTCTAGCTTTCAACGCATATGCCCATCCTGAAACACTTCATTTTAATCACTTCATCTTAACTATAGAAGTTGTTGATGATGATGATATGGAATCATTAAGCATGCCACACCTTAGTATCACTTAAACTTCTAGTAATATTGTTGATACTTATTATCTCCTCCACTAAAATTTCATGCCATATGCTTAATCTTTGTGCTACTAACCCCAAGTCCTTTATCTTTTTAAATATTTTTTTAATTATCCTATAATCTTCTTCTTATTTCAAAAAAGGTCACAATGGGAAAACTAAGGTCAAACTAATTAAAACTAGATCATTTATGAAAAGCATACATCAAAATATATCACTCTGAATATACATCTGTAAACATCATAAACAATAAAAAAAAGATGTGGATTAATGATGATTATTTACACAATCTCATTATGATTGGGAAATCATCAGCCACACAACAACTACTTCTAAAACTGTTTGATGCTCATTAAAAGTGCCCATAATCAAAATTATGGCAGCCATTATTTAATTATCAATAGTTCAGCTTGCTTGACCAGCATGCATGGAATAAATGCAGCTGTGTTGTACCAAGGTTTCACTTGGCACTTTCGATTTGTTTGATACGTACATATGCTTTGAAGCAGCTTTATTCATATGCAAGAGTTATGCTAGGGCTTATGTGGATCCTCGCCAATAAGTTGCAAACCAAATGACACATGCAACACAAATTACAATCATCTCAGCTGTATCCAGAAAATATCTATTGATACTCCATTTTATCTTTTTTTCTTCAAGTGATTCTTTCATCTCGAGAAAGAATACTGACTGGAAGTGATAACTAAGAGAAATGTTACACTTGTTGAATTCGACATGTGTAACATTTCTAGTTAAGGGGTTTTTTAATAGGATGATCTTAAATATGGATGTTAGAAATACAGAATACTTAAACTGCATGCATTTTAAAAATGCATGACTTGTTTTCTTGGACGCAAATCAAAAGTATTGATTTTTTTTTTTTTTTTTTTTTTTTTTTTGTGTTTGTCATGATATATTTCAAATGCATTGAAATACAGTGAGAGTCGGTTAAAGACAGTGGCAGCGGAGATAACAGTGAAGACTGGGAATAGGTTGTGGCTGATGAGAATCACAAGTGGCCACAATGCAAGATCTAGAAATCGCTTGATTTGAGCAATTTTCAAATACATGAAATACAGGAGTTTTGGAGTATTTCAATCCCTCAAATTTTTACTTTGTTTTTTGTTCAAACCAAAGATCAAAAAAGTTGACCCAAATAAAATAAATACAATACACTCAAAAGGATTCCTATCAAACAGTCCATAAAGAAATTCCTACAAATGCCATGTTTTTTTTGCAGGGAGGCTATTGAAATTTAAGGGAAAAAAATTGAAAGCAATATGCGCATAGAAAGTAAACTATCCCTTAAGCATGTTAATTAGAACTATCCCAAACCTGAAGCAGGGTAACCTGCGCTGAGAGAGTAGTAGCCTCTGTTTGAAGAGTTTGAACCTTGCGCTCAAGTTCACTAGTGTAGAGGATCTTTCTTTCTTTAGACCTAGCTGCAGATTGCCTGTTCGCGAGTATTCTACAACAACAAAGAACAATAATGTTGATAATTTGGTAGACTAACAAGACAATATAACGGAGTATCAATTATCAGAGCCATTCTCATTCAAGTTCATATGCTACCCATGTTCCATATTTTCTTCCTGGTATACAGTAAATTAAGGGGGATGGATTGCATCATAACAAAATCCAAGTCAAACAAAATTACATCAAATAAAGAAAAACAAGTGGAAAAATCAAAAGGAACTCCGTATTAGAGAAAACTTACTACAAAAACCTCCACAAGTTAACAACACTGGTTGTCTAAAGCAATAAAAAATCAAATTCAAATAAACCCAAGTAAAACTCAGAAAACGTATACAGCAAAAAGCCAACAAAACATATAACCAGATGAAAGGATCGTACCTCTTGGCTCTCTTAGGATCAATCAGCGCCAGCTCAGCTAGCTTATCCGCTGACATCGCCTTCTTCGCATAATCCGACAACCCCGTGGACTCTTCTTCGAAAGGCGACGTTTCCCCATCCATGGAGCTGCTGTGCCGATGATGCGCCCTTTTCTCCGGCGCCACGCCGAAGGCAGCACCAACCTCCTGAAACCCCATCGCCCCGAAGAACGCCGCGTCGACCGACATGCTCCTCGAATGAGCTCCAACTCCGGCAGGCCTACCACCAGGATGCGCCTCCCTGACGTCCGATCTGCCACCGTATTCAACTGGGATCGCCGGAGCCACAGTGGCACTTCCGCCAGAAACATTGTCATCTGAGAGAGATGGCAAGTCGATGTCTGAGATGTTGAAATCGGGATCGGAGTCAAAGAGCAAGTCGTCGGGGAGGCGCACGAAAGTCTCGGAATGAGACCGCCGGTGGCCGGCACTACGAGGGTTTGGCGGTATCTGGCCTCCTCCGAAACTCCGGTTGGCCGGTAGCGTGTCGGGTGGCCGATTCGTGTCCATGGACGAGGGTTAGAGGCTTAGAGCTCAAAGAATGGCTAATATCTCAGCTTCCCCATCCGCATGTAATAATTTCTGGAGGCTTAGAGCTTGGAGAAGGGCAGAAGGTCCGAGCCGTAGCAGATGGACCATTTATGACGGTCGCATCAAAGACGAGCGACGTGGAAAAGGAAGACAAATTATTGAAAATTTTAGAGATATTGGATGAGATTTCCGGCACGCTGGCAGACCGTTAGATTGATTAATAGCGGTAATCGTTATGCAAACAAATATTAAAGAATGATCGACGGTGTTTTTGGCTTTGTTTTATTTCTGTATATGGTGGAGCGATCATGAACTATGAAAAAATTAGGAAAAACAATAAAAATACAAAAAAAAAAAAAACTTAATACTTTTATCATACGAGTAAATTTAATTGTTTTATAATTCATTTAATAAAATATCTTAGTTTATTTGGAAAAATGTATTGAAATTTCATTTCAGCTTTTATAAGGAATAGATTTTTTTTTAGTATTTGTGGATTATTTATTCAAGACGAATGCTTTTTTTTGTTGCTTCTTAAAATAATTTTTTGGTTCAAAAAAGAAAAATTTTGTACTAAAATTTTGATTTGAGAATCAATAAAAAAGCCCACCCAAACGAAAGTGAAGTCTTTCAAAATTATTTTGTATTAATTTGAATTTAATTTGAACACGCTTACAAATCAAATTTAAATTTGAAATTATGATAGGGAAAGACATTCGAATTGGGACTAGGAGCAAACCCTAATTCCACCAAAGCCATGTATTGCTTTTCTATCCTTTTGTGTTGGTTTTCAACTTCTCACAAAATGTTCTTTTAACCATTCAAAATGAGGAGAATGTTAAGTGGTTTAATCTATTTAAACAAAATGCTAAAAATCAAAATCAATATTATAATTTTCATCGCATTCATTCGCATGCCACAAAAGCCTACAAAAAGTTGAAAGAAGAAATTAAGCTATTAATTCAATAGGGTTATCATCATTATTTTATTCATCAGCAACTCATTCCAATTGATAACGATCATGCTGGGGGTAGCAGTAATAATGACAACAACAATGCTTCTGAAAAATAATTGCATAAATTGAGATACTTATTACAGTACTATTATTATCTTTCCTAGTTAGGCTTAACATCCACAAAGAGCAAGTATTAAGGAAATCACATGTTGATTATGATATTATGCTTGATTATTTTGATTTAGAAGGCATTTAAATTATGTATCTAGATCCACTTATTATCAATGCTAGGATTAGCGATCATTGCTCTAATATTAAGAGAATCCTAATTGATAACTAATACCATGTTGGTGTATTATATGTATGTATATATATATATTAGCTTGAGCATGGTCACAGAGAAGTTCCATTTAGCCATAACACATTACATGGATTCAATAATCAACCAAAAAGAGTGAAAGGGATAACCACTCTCTAAGTTACACTTATAGAATCTCTCTAACAAGCAACTTAATTGATTCAATTTATGGAAGTCAAGTCAAAGCCGGTTTACAATGATATCATTAGCATATCTCTTTATTCAATTTCTGTGTTATCACTTATGTAACACATTTGAAGATCAAGTTCTTAACTCTAGCTCAGTCTAATAGCTCATCTCTTGAAGAATATGGCCTCTTAACAAAAGGAAAGTTAGGATGCAGGAATTTTTCTTTTGATTTTTCCTTAGTACTCTAAATAAAGATGCATTGGAGCCCATGAGAGGGAACTATACTATGCCTATACAAGATAATATTTATTCTATTCAAGAGAAGAAAATAGAGCCTAAAAAGGGGATATTAAGAGATATGAGTCCCATAACTTTGCCTATAAAAAGACATATCAATATTCTTGATAGAAAAGATCTGGAACTTGTAAGAGGGATACAAACAAAAAATCCATTACAATATCATGCCTTTATACATAGGAGTGATAGATCCTATGAATGTGGAGTTACGCATCGCCTACATAAGACAATGCTGAAAATTTTTAAGAGAATAAATTGGTTCTTATGAAAGGAGAATTGAAGGTGCGAATTTTCTCCACAACTATAGCTATGAAAGACAATTCGATATTCTTGGTAGAACATTGAAGTCTAAAATGGTGATGTGCTTCACTTATTTAGGGCAATATCAAGTTGATATATGACCAGCCTCTTTCCTCGATGTAACCTTTAAAATTGTATTTGCAAATGCTGGTGGTAGGAAGGATTTTTTGGCATCTCAAGTTGATTTTTTTGCAAATGCTGGTGGGGGAATGAAGGCGACGAGAGGGTGAGTAGTGTGAGAGATGGGGTGGGGGTCAGACGGATGGGGGCAATAAGAATGGGTGGGGTGATAGCTACTGTGACATGAAGAGATGTAAAACAATGAGAGAAAATATCAAAAGAGGTCAAGACAAATAAAATCCAAGAGAATGATTACTAGCGCACAAAATTAGGTGAAATAACAAACCTTTCAATTTTTTTTTTTAAATAATCCTTTGAACCAATCACAAATCTATCTCATCACAATTGCATTGTAATAATGTAGTGTTTAAAAAAAAATAGAAGAAAAGGATTACCCAAAAAATATATTTAATTAATTATATTAGATTATCATATGATACACCCTTTAACATTTTAAATTAATTAATGTATATTAATTGTATACAAAGTCGGATTACAAAACAAATTTATTATTATCTAAATACAAAATTATATATTTAATTAATTTGATTAGATTATTAAAATCAAATGATTGGAATGATAAAGTGAAAATTTACCACTTCAAACCTCTTATTTATTATTATTATTATTATTATTATTATTTTTTATATAAATATTCACACCAAACAAAAACATATTGCTAAAGCCAGACCGCCATGATAACCATGGCATATATGATACATCCTTTAACATTTTAAAATAATTAGTATATTACATAACAAAAGTATAAATCTCTTTCAATAGTTTATAATTTTTTTAGAACAAATGATATTATATTTATTTTTATAAGAAAATAAGCATATTTATTATTAATAGTACATGCATATCATTAAATAAATATTATTTTTAGAATATCCAATATTAGTTTATATTATTTTTGGATTATATGTACATGCATACAATTCCCATAAGAGCTTCTATTAAAAATAAAAACATTTTCATAAAATTTAATTTATGAATAACTTTTTTTTATAATAGGGGTATCTATCTGCTGCCACTCCAAAGGGAGCGCTTGGCCGTGTAATTGATCCCTCGGCAGAATCTAGTATGGCCACCCACCGACTTCGGGCCCACCACTTGTTTTGCCCCACTTAATATAGTAGGTGGGATTCCAACCGTACTCGCTCATCAATGACCATAAGCAAGTCGTCGGTGGGTTATGAATAAATTTCAATCCAACAATTATCATAAATAACATTTTTTTAATATAATTTCAAAATTTCAGAGGAAACTTTAATATTAGCACAGGCACAAATAATCAGCTCATTGTGATTTATAAGTTGACTATCCAATAGAGTTTGAGGCCACTGGTTAGGTAATTGACTTTATCCAATTAAATTTTCTTAAAATTGCAATAAAACCCCTAAACTTTAAAATTTGTCACACGCTGGAACTTTGTTAAGTACGCCAATAATTATTAATTTGTTATAATATTTGATAATAATTACATACATTTTGCCTTTCTCTTTGTCATTCCAGGCCTGCTATGGAAGGTGATAAGTGTTGGGTGGGATTTGGGAGCTGAGCTGTTGATATTTTTATAACTTAATTAAGGGTCTGTTTGAGATAAATTATCAATTTTTTTTAAATCATAAATATATTTCTGAGACTTTTTTTTTATTTCAATTTTTTATAATAACTTTTAAGAAACTTATTTTTCTTATAACTATGTAAAATAACCTTTTCAAAAAGTTATTGCCATCTCAAACAAATTATAAGAATGTAATTAAACAAATTAGCACATAAATTATTCAAATTAAAAAATAAAAAGTTAGAAAAAAATTTAAATTAATAAATAAATGCTGCTTTAATCTAAAATTACCTAATAAATTCAATTTAATCTCTTGACTCATAAATTGTTTACATTTAAGTTTTGTTTGAGACAATTTTCTTATTACTTTATTTTTCAGACCGCAATCACAATTTTTATGCTGACATTACTTTTTTGCCCTTTCAAAAAACTTTTTGTTTGAAAACTATTTTCTGCATCGTTAAAAAATTGTTCTCCAACACCTTTACAAAACAATAAAAAAACCGTCATAACTGAAACTTTAGGTTTTGTTTAGGGCGAATTTTTTATAGCTTCTTAAAATGAATTTTTAGTACAAAAATTAAATTTTTTGTACTAGAAAGCTGCTTTAAGAAGTACTAAAAAGTCATCCCAAACGAAATCTTAGGCTTTGTTTGGGACGACTTTCTTACTGCTTCTGAAAGCAGCTTTCTAGTACAAAAAATTTAATTTTTATACTAAAAAGCTACTTTAAGAAGCAGGAAGAAAGCCGTCCCAAACGAAGCCTTAATCTCTTGGCAAAGCAGCTTTCTAGTACAAAAAATTTAATTTTTATACGCTACTTTAAGAAGCAGGAAGAAAGCCGTCCCAAACGAAGCCTTAATCTCTTGGCTTTTCAAATAAACATCTAATGCCAAATAGAGTCGATACTAGCTCAAACTTAACTCATATAGCTCGAGGAGCGAATTAATTTCCAAGCCAAGTTGATAAAAGAGCAGTCAATTATAAATAATACTAGTGGGGGGTGGTGGTACATCTATAAAAAATTTATATCAAATTTTTTGAATAAATATAATATATAAATAAAATAAAAAATTAGGGTATCAAAGAATCCATTGAGAAACTTAACCATTTCAACAATGGCAGATGGAAAGATAAAAAATTGAAGCTGAATAGCTCATACTATATGTTTTCTACATAACCTGTTACATTTGGAGAGAAGTTAAGATTGCAACAAGGATAAACCATTCAAGAAGTCTTGAATTATATCAAAGCAGTGTATGCTCTTGAAAGTTCCATAAACTACATGCTTCCCATGGATGAAGTTTTATTAAGTCAGGAAACCTGACATAGCTCTACATCCAGACTTCAATAAAATGTCGCCA